CTCCAGCCACCCTCTCTTCTACATTCCATATGCGAGGGAACATGAACAAAATATTGTGCACTTTTTGTGCCATTGGATTCATGCATCTACCGATTAGTGTCCTCGCATACCCTTGAACCAAAGCCGAGTTGTCGAACTTTGGGATTTTGATCCTCAATTTCGGCCCACCAGCAGCCATCAATGTCTCCAACTGATCTTTTGAGAGTAGATTACTTTGAGTCATTGTTAATTTTTGCACCAAACAAGAAAGGAATGATTATTTGCTTAGATGTAGAGTGCATAACCCGTGATTCTCATGCATATATTGTCCCACCCGCAGGCTCTCATTAATCTCCATTGATGCCAAATCCCTTGATTTCAGTCGAGACCAATTGCCAAAATTATCTCCCCAATCTTTCTCTTTTGACTCGCTTGGACAAAATGAAACTTATAGATTTTTTTCCAATCTAAAACCGATACGTAATCCCCTCTCTCCTGCCATATGCCTTATCTGCCTCTCATCATCTCTTTTCCTTATCAATCCCGTAGTATCAGCCATAAGTATCCAAATCTGGATATGCCTTCGATCAAAAATCTTCCATATCCGATCGTAATCACAGGTATTAAAACGATCCCCTATTTCGATCCCCTTTTCAAACCTTGCCATATTCGATCCCTTGTTTTGGTGTTAAAACTAAAACTGAGCCAGATTTTATACCGTTCGCAATCACAGGTATGAAATCTCCATGAGTCCGCTTTCAAACTGCCATATTTAGACCCAAAATTTCTGAATCGTAACCCCGATTCACCGAGAAATATCTCAGAAACCCAAAACCACTCCCAGGTATGGATTCTCCATGAATTCGCTTCCAAACTGCCATATGTAGACCCATAATTTCTGAATCGGAACCCCAATTCACCGAGAAACATCTCAGAAATCCAAATCCATCTTCGCTAATTCAAAATCGCCGACCGTTACTTTTTTATCTCAGCTTGGTAGTCGTTACTTAGAATTATCTTTCTAGAAATAAATTGTTAAGGTGAGTGTTCTCCACTTGGTTACTTTTTCACACTTATTATATTCCTATGGAGAAGGTATTTGATTTGTTGTATTATCTATTTTTATTTAAATCCAAAATATCTAGTTGATACATACAAATATGAAAAAAAAAAAAAATTTTTGATATGTGGCAAAATTTAATTGGAATTTTTTTTAATATGTGTCGAACTCTCATTAGCTAACTAACATGTGTCACGATCGTGTTTGATATATAGCAAAATTTAATTTGCA